GGGGGGGGGGGGGGGGTAATACTTGGTTTTCCCTTGATTTCTTTGTGCACCAATAATGGAGTAGTAGTATTTATCACAATTGGGCAACAAAACCACCATTGTTTAAGGCAAGGAACGAACTTAAAACAAAGAAGAATGAGGGAAAGATGGTGGGGGTAGGGGGTGATGCTGGGGTTCGAGCGCCGCTCCCGAATATCATTCCAAAGAAGTTGCCGCTGTCGCCGGACTGGCTTCTGCCGCCGCCCCCGCCGCTGTTGGCTGTCCCTCCGCCGGAGATCTTGTTGTTGTCCCTGCACATTAGAACGAGACACAATTTAACTTCACCAACATAAGAATTAACCTCGGGTATGACCCTAAGTTTGAAACCACAACCTTTACAAACATTGCAAGAATAATATTTTGGATTCATTTTTGGTGACTTTATGCCAAACATAAGTGTGTATTTGGTTTTGGGACACCCAATTTATGAAATGTACTTTCGATTTTAGGACTGAGAGGGTTTATGTTTGAAGAAATCATCTAAAATATCACCATATTTTTATCTTTGAAATAGAACTATGGTATCATGAATGTGACGCTGTATACTGATATTCCACAATGTTTTTTGGTATTATATGTTGACAATATTGACATTACAAATTATAATTTGGAATAAATACAGTGTCTTAATTGGAATACTTACGTTACCCTGTTCGTAAAATTGATAGTTCTTACCCCTAGTAAACCCCACTTAGTCTCGATCCCAACATATCACCCTACCCACGTCAATTGTGTGGTGCAAGTTTAATTAACTTTGGGTCAAAATTTTACCAGAGGATTAAGAGAGATAAGATCTATCAATTTTAGGAACATAGCACTGTAAGTATAGAGTGTCTTCTGTAACCACTCAAATAGAGTGACCATAGAATCGGGCCCATAATACTTTATCTATCTGATACTCTTCCCGTCTCAAAAGAAAGCTTTAGTTCATTTTACAAAAACAAAATTTGACTGAAATTGTTTTCACGTTAATATAGATAAAATTGGTGTTAAATTAAAAAAATAAAAATTATACATTAAAAAACTACAATAAAAGTTCTACAAAACAAGTGGAAACTTTAAATAATCTATTTTTCATTTTTTTTAACGCTTGTTGATTTCCATGAAAGTGAGCAAATGAATTTGAAATCAAATGAGAATTTAATAATAATAATAATAATAATAATAATGAATTCGTAATAACATTAATAATTGTAATAATAATACAAGTAGTTGATCGATAAACTAATTAATTAATAATGCAAGATATATTAGCTATAGTTGTGTGAAGAAAGGGGGGGCCACTGCCTCAAGGAATTATAATATATAATATAATAGAGATAAAAAAGAATGATGTGTGTTTTCAACTAACATCAACCTCAAAAGAAAGCTGGAAAGCATGAACTAATTAATTAATTAAATAAATAAAGCATATATAGTTCCAAAAAAAGAAATGAGAACACAAAAAAGTCCACCTGGCTACCAAAAACAACAGCATGCATGAACTGGTCTTCTAATAAGTTGGACCCAGATGGGACTGATGCATGAGGACAGGGTTGGAAATATAAAAAGTTACTTTTAAAAAAATTATCCAGGCACAATTGCATTATCTATTTATCTTTGATTTATACGGAGTAATCACTTTCAAAGAAAAAATAAAAAAGAAAATAAAAGGGAAAATTGAACTAAAGACATGAAAATATATTTCTTTTACATTTTAGTGAAGGAATCAGAAAAAATCAACTTTCTTTTTTCATTTCGAATTCTAGGGTAAATATTTTTGAGAAGACTACAAAAAATAAAAACTCTTTCCGTCTAATAATTATCTTCTTGTTGTGCATAACAATGCTTGACTAAAATTATTTACAAAAAAATTATGTTAAACTAACAAATAAAAATTACATATTTGAAAATTACATCAAAAGATCTACAAAACTAGATGTGACATGAATATATTATTTTATCAAATAGACAATGAAAATAAACTAACAAAGTAAATCAAGTTTAACTATGTAAATAGTAAATAGGAGGATAATTTGTGGACCGAACAAGTACTAAAATCCAATATTCTCCGTCCCCAATTTGATTACAAATTGAGGTTTACAATGGAAAATATCTCACTTTTTAAAATTATTTTATTTACAAATCGGTATCTTGATAAGAAATAAAATTACATTTTAAAAAAATATGCCAAAAGTTCTACAAAACAAAAGGTAGCAGAAATATTTCATTTTATCAAATACTTAATGAAATTGCGTAAACAAATAAAAGTTATCGAGAGAAGGAGAGAAATTGTAGGGTATATGTCAGAGTAAATTGAAAGATTCCATATGTTGCAGTAACACATGGTCTACTTGTCTTCTACAATCCCGTCTTCAACTTTGTGTTTTCTTGTTCTACATTATTTGTGATTGAATGAAAAAACAATACCCAAAAATATTTGACAAAACTGAAATAATCCGTATAAATTTTCATTTGCTTTTTAAAAAAGGCATTGATATATTACAAACGCAATAAACAAGCATATTTACAAAACATATGTTCTTGTTTCTTTTTTATTTCTTCAATTACAAACGGGAAAAAATGGCAAATCAAAGAAAATCATTTTTTTTTCTTTCCAAATTCCTTGAACCAAACATAATGATAAAAAAATATATGATTAATTAGAATTTATCTAGAAAAGAAATGTCTTGGCAGCCACACATCTATTACAAAAAAATATCAACCTAAACAAGACTAAAATATTATACTTATATCAAAATTGAACTTATATTTTTATCCCCTAATGCCACAAGTTGACTAGTCTCATTTATCAGTTTTTTTTGACATTATATATTACTCCCTCCAATCCACGTAACTTTTCTCTTTTTTTTTTATCTATCCCAAAAAATCTTTCTCATTTCTAGTAAAAAGTCACTTTTACCTTTACTACTCTGTAATTCTTAAATTACCTATCATATCACACTTTTTGACTATTAATTTACCCATCACAACTACTTTTACTCATCTAAGAGCATTTTTGAAAAGTCACTACCAAAATATATTTCTTTTAAATCTTTTAAAAATTAAAATTCTAAAAATTTTTAGTAAGAGAGAGGAAGTAATGCTCTTTGCATTATGAGTCGAATTGTTTCCATTACCAAAGCAATTAGGGTCCGTTTGGTATACGGAATTGATGGAATTGGAATTGAATTGGAATTGAAATTCTATGGGATTCAATTCCATAGAATTAAATTCTGTCAATTCCAATTCATTTTTTGCACTATCAATTCCAAATCCACATAATTTTTGTGCTATCAAACACCAGAATTGGAATTGAAGTGTTCAATTCAAATTCCATAATTTGAATTCCGTGTACCAAACGTAGTCTTAAAGAACAAAATAAGTGTATTTTTTTTTGGGGAAAATCCAAAGGAAAGTGTAAATCAATACATATGGCGGGCGTACCTGGATCCTCCGAAGCAACCGGCGTTCATGGTGAGGCGGTCAATGAGCTCGGCGGATTTAGGCTCCAAGCTGGACGCCTTAGCGTACTGGGCGGGGAGGCGCTGGCCGTCGCCGGAGGGGACGAAGAAGGCCCCGTTGACGAGCACGTCCCCGTCGGTCCGCCAGTTCCAGTCGCTCCAGTCCCCCTCGTCCGTGTCCACGCGCTTCGTGACCTCCTTGGCGCTGGGGTCGGCCGGGGCGGTGTAGCGGTTGGCCTGGCTGTTGATGGTGGGGCCGCCGCTGCCGCCGATGGCGTACATCTGCCACTCCGTGAAGTCGTTGTTGACCACGTGGATGTACCCTCTCCTGCACCTCGGCATCCTTTGCACTAGCCCTTCCCCGAAGTAATTGAACGCAATCGTCACCTGCACGCCCGACCCGACCCGACTTTCATCCTCGGAAATGTTATTTTAACCCTAACATTTGAAATCCAATATTTGTCCACTTTCATTTTTACACACCATCCAATGCACTTCTTTAATTCATTTTATCTTGTAATTTGTATATTAAAAAATTATAGAAATTATATATTAATAATCTATATGTTAAGACAAATCAAACAAGATCACACATTACACACATGACTATATTTAGGCTTACACATTGAGAGAATTTGATGAGTCAAAGTGCTTAAATGAACAGTTCCAAAAGTCAAAAGTGGACAAAAACTGGGGGACGGGGAGTATAATTTTAGCCTCTTACAGACATTTGACAATATTCCGTGTTTGCAATGTGTTACTACTCGTTAGTAGTTGCTACAAAATAATGAGTATCATTTTATTTTTAGAGTTAAATATTTTATGGGCAATGTTATTTTGATGAGAATTCATTGAAATAAAAATAAAATATACGGAGTAATATTTTATGTTTGTACTGTAATATTATAACATTGTATAATGATACATCATTATATTTTCTGGTTCTATATAGTGGTATTATTAGTATTATATTTATTTTGGGGATAAATATCATTAATCCTATATTTTGGTATGTTTGCATATCTTATTCTTAATTTAATCTTTTTTTCCTCTTTTGAAATCCAAAGTTTCTATGTGCAATTAAAATCATGATTTTTTTGAACATGTAAGTACATGACACCTTCTCTGGGTGTCATTTTAATGATTATAATGCCACCAATAAATTTATTTTAAAATTAATTTATTCGATTGTAAGTATAAATTAAGAAAATAAAATTTATATACTTAAAGATAAAAATTAAAAATTCAACAAAAAGAGATGAGACATGTAAAGAAAATGGGAACAAAATAGGGAGGGTAAAAGGGTAAAAAAGAAAAAAAAAGGCAGACCTGCATACCGGAGTCGGGGGAGTAGCGGTCGTCGTGGCCCAAGAGCATGACCTCATCGTGGTGGGAGAAGTAGTTGTTGGAGATGGTGATGGCGGTGGACCCCATGATGGCGTCCACCAGCCCGTCTGTACAGTGCGACAGCGCGCAGTGGTCGATCCAGATGTTCCTCGACCCGAATATCGATATCCCGTCGCCGTCCGATCTGCTCCTCCACCCGACGTGCGTCGGGCTCGACCGTATCTCCGTGTTCCCCGTCGG